GGCGCCCGTTGGTGGCTGAAGGGGATCACTCTGCTGTCCTGGTTTTGATAACCCAGCCATGCCTCCTGGGTCATCTGCACTAAAACCCTCAGAATTACACACACCAGATGACAAATCTGTTAGAAGGTGGATACAAAACCCACTGACGGAAATGCGCATCAGCATATGTGGGTTAGCCAAATTCCAAGTCTTCTCTCTCTGTTCAACATGTCGCCATATCATTTATAAATAAATTATTTTAAAATCCAGCTATGTCACACCTGAAGTTCCCTGAGTAGACTGGGAGCCCCAGGCTGGAGTTGGCCGAGCGGAGCATTCCTCGACGAAGCCCAGGCTCCCCACCAATACTTAGCATCTTCTCTAACCAGGTGCCGAGCGGACCCTGAAGGCAGAGCCCTGGACGGAGCCCCGGCCCCTCTGGGAAAGGCGGTGCAGTCCACAGCTGCCCCTCGAGCACGCATCAGACTGGGAAATCTCCTGTCGGAATTAGGACGTAGGGCTGAGCATGGGGCCTGCAGGCAACACAGCCCTCGCCAGAGGCCAGCCATCCTGCCCCTGCTTCCTCGTCGGTAACATGGGAGGGAGCTTACAGTGTTATTACAGATGGTGCAGGCCATTTAGCAGAGCTGCAGTTAAGAACGCGGTTGTCAGACATGCCTGAATCTTGGTCCTCCCCCGCCACCGTATGACTTTACAAGAGACCAGACTCCTCTGACCCTCAGTGTACCTCATCTGTAAAATGGCCACAGCATCTTGTTCCTCATGAGACTTCGCCGTGAGGATACACTCCAAGCACTCGGCGCAGGGCCTGCTACACAAGTGTTGGGTAAGGGGCAGCTTCCAGTGGTGCAGGCACCACCACCGGGCCACGCCCACAAGAGACGTTTGTTTGGGAGGCATTTTTCTCTCCTCCGTGGTCTCTCCCACACAGGGGCGCCAGGCTCCTTCTCCCGCTTCTCTGCAGACATGCCCCATCTCTCCAGACTCACAGATTCTCCTTTCCTCCCACGTCTCTGCTGAAATCCTATCAGCCGCCCCGCAGGAATCTAACAGCCCAGAAACACAAGCAGCGGCCCCTGCCCACCGCGTGCACGGGGCAGCCACAGGCAAAGGCGCGCAGCACCCGACGGCAGGAAGCCTGCGCAACCACGGACGCCGGCTTCGGGGGCCTCGTCCCAGGGAGGCCCGCGGCTCACTATGGGCAGCCTGTCACGGCTGCCAGCATCCAAGGGGACAATAGTGACGAGGGGTCCCTTGTGACCACAGTGCCCAGGAAGGACGCATGCCTACACTCTGGAGCACTGGCTGGGCCCCTCTGGGGGCCTGCTGGGCTGCGTGGAAGCCGCAATGACCAGAGACCAAAGACCATCAGGGACTGATCAGCCAAGCCCAACGGCTTCAGACCACCGCCCCGGTGCCGGCGTGCACACATGCAGCTTCTCAGCTGTCCCCACAGCCAGCCTGCAGGTTGCCCATGTCACAAACAGGATTCCCCAGAGAGACTGGTGTGCAAAGCACTCTTCCCCGTCTCCCGGTCCTCCCTCCTAACACACACCCCCCACGGGACCCACAGCCTCTGCCGGGGACTCTGATGCAGCTCAGCCCCTCATTTCTTGCCCCATCTTGTCTCTGTCCTACTTACAAGGCACTCATGGTGCCTGCATGTCTGTCAGCCTGCACTGTGTGGTAATAATATCTTAATTCCACCCACATCCTAAGAGAACGGAGAAACGGCTGCACCTGCGGCACTCGGAGGTCGACGGATGAAAGGCATTCAAATAAACCACAGAGAGCATTTCTTTAAACGTCACTACTTCCATAGGCAGCACACGGCAAAATTAAAGAGCACCGAGGAGGGACACAGGACACGTGGAGCACAAAACGACCGTGCGTGATGAGTAAGTGCTTTCCTGGAAGTCCTCCCGTAGTGGTTTCTAACAATCCCGTGTAGAAAAGTCCGCGGTCCCTAGTGTATGGACAAAACGGAGACTCGCCGACGTCTTCCAATCATTTTATTAAAACGGAAAGATCTGGGGGGATGGGGGGGGTTCGGGTGCCTTTTTCCCCTAACGCGAAGGGACACCCAGGCGGGTCTATGGTGCTCCACTCCCTAAAGCTGCTGCCTGCATCCTGCCTGCTGCCGGGGCCCAGTCTGACGGAGTCACTCCACTCACTCCGCAGCCACTGGTGCAGCCGCTACTGTGTGCCACCGGCATTTCCACAGAACAAAATGTATCGTGTCCCGCTTTGGGAGAGCTGATCCTCCAATATAGACGGAAAGAAGAAAAACACACCGGCGGACTTCAGAAAGTGTGCAGAGAATGCAGCCAAGAGACAACATTTGGGTGCAAAAAGATTTGAAGCCCATGCAGAGTTTCTCCACACTCAGCATCTTCCAGGAGCTTTTTGGACACCACGCCCCTGCCCCCGGCAGCGTGTCCGCTGACAGTAATTCCAGGCAGCAGAAGAGCCCCATATAGGAGAACGGGGGAACGGTGGGGACAGCTGCTATTTATAGAGGATCGGCAAAGGCCTCCCTGGGGAGCTGATGCCTGAGCAGAGACAAAAGGAAGCTAGAGAGCAAGGCAGGACGCGCGGTCACCCCGGGGCCGCGGAAGCAGCACGGGCAAAGGCCTGGAGTCTGCTCCTCCACATGTGCCTGGAACTGGCGATGGCACAGGAGGTGGCCAGGAGTCACAGCTTACGAACAGGGCCGGCAGTTCCATCTCCAGCCAGCTGAGCTGAAGGGACGATCCCAAAGCGGCCACAGTCAGAAAAGTGATGGGACTTTATTTTTCTTACAGAAGTAACATTTGCACATCTTAGAGGACTGTGAAAATGGCGGGAAAGAACAAGGATGCAGATACGGGGTAGCTGGATTGGAATCCTTACCCCGCCATGCTCCGACCTTTATATAATGCTGTGTTTTTTTTGTTTGTTTATTTTTTGACAGGCAGAGTGGACAGTGAGAGAGACAGAGAGAAAGGTCTTCCTTTGCCGTTGGTTCACCCTCCAATGGCCGCTGCGGCTGGCGCGCTGCGGCCAGCACACCGCGCTGATCCAATTGCAGGAGCCAGGTACTTATCCTGGTCTCCCATGGGGTGCAGGGCCCAAGGACTTGGGCCATCCTCCACTGCACTCCCTGGCCACAGCAGAGAGCTGGCCTGGAAGAGGGGCAACCGGGACAGAATCCGGCGCCCCGACCAGGACTAGAACCCGGGGTGAGGGCACCGCTAGGCGGAGGATTAGCCTAGTGAGCCGCGGCGCTGGCCCATAATGATGTTCTGACACAGACATGGCTCTTACAAGACACCCACTGAAAGTCATCTTCTCCAACTCAGAGGGAATCGCACCTTTTACTCATCGAGCGCACGTGCAGCCAATCCCCCTGAGATGGGATGCTTCTACTTCCCCAAAGAACACACATTTTTGAGGTCTAACAGATGGGCTACTTAACCACCCCGAGCCTCAGTTTCTCACGGTGAAACCAGTCCCACACCCACCAGATGTTGTGACGTTCAGGGACGACCTTTGTCAAACAACTGGCTTGAAGGCTATGCAGAGAAAAGGGTAATGAGAGCGGGTAACACATCGGCCATTTGGTACTGAGCCTCTTCCCTGTGCTACATAGTTCTCCTCTTGCTGGTAACAGGAGTGAACCCCACAGGGGATATCTGAATTGTTATCTGCCACGCTCAATTTCCAGTGGTCCAAAAAGACAGAAAATCAATCGAAAATCGGGAGTTGTGTCGCTGCCCAGATGACACTGTCACTGTGAATGAGGACTTGGTAGAGGGGGTCCTTGCGTGTGCTGGACAAGGGGCAGGGTGCTGGGCTGGCACCGGTCCTGGGGTCACCGCTTTGCAGGAAATTGCCTGTCCGGCCCTTCGCTGCTGCACGGACCATGTCCGCGGAGGCCCAGGACAGCTCCAGCTGGAATCCCAGAGAACGCCACCTGCCGTCCTGGACAGTGGCCTGGCTCAAAACGCATGCCTGGGGACGGCGCCGCGGCTCACTAGGCTAATCCTCCGCCTTGCAGCGCCAGCACACCGGGTTCTAGTCCCAGTCAGGGTGCCGGATTCTGTCCCGGTTGCCCCTCTTCCAGGCCAGCTCTCTGCTGTGGCCCGGGAAGGCAGTGGAGGATGGCCCAAGTGCTTGGGCCCTGCACCCCATGGGAGACCAGGAGAAGCACCTGGCTCCTGCCTTCGGATCAGCGCGGTGTGCCGGCCGCAGCGCGCCAGCCGCAGCGGCCATTGGAGGGTGAACCAACGGCAAAGGAAGACCTTTCTCTCTCTCTCTCACTGTCCACTCTGCCTGTCAAAAAAAAAAAAAACAAAAAAAAAACAAAAAAAACCGCATGCCTGGATACCCAGGCCTGGCACGGCCCCGGAGACTCGCCAGCCACTCGGCTCCGAGGAAAGACAGCTCTGCCACATCGGACAGCGGGTTCCAGATGCGCACGGCTGGAAGGAGCTGTCATTTTTACGAAACACAGGAAAATGCCCATCATCCTCCCTGGAGCCATAAACAAAAGGGGAGTCCCTCTCTGTGGAAACCAAGAAGCATTCCAGAAAGCCAACTTGGGCTGGACGGGCAGTAACTCCATCCCAGCGGCCACCGCTGGACACTGTGCAGGACAGATGCAGAGACCCAGGGCAGCAGCACCCCTGTGAGGTGACTGCCACCAAGTCCTAAGACGGACGTGCCCCGCCAGCATGTGTGGGGGTGCGCGAGGACCTGTACCTCCCCAGGCTGTTTGCAGCCTTCAGACCCCTTGTTCTTATTGTCAGAAAGCAAGGGACCAGTTTCCAGAAGGGCTTCCGGTCACTGGCCATTCCCGTAGGGCTCAGCGAAGTTTGCTTGCGAGTGCGAGAGGGCAGTTTACTAGCAAAGTGCTCATACCCTCCCCACCACATCCCAACCCGGCCAGCCCGCGCAGGGATTCTCACCGACCTCCCCGGAACACGCACTCACCGCACCTGCCAGGGGCCGGCGGTTACCTGGGAGGGGAGCCTCCAGCGGGGCTCCCGGAGCCGCACAGCCTCTAGTCCGTGCCGCCAGGCCCTCTCCACCCCAGAAAGCCGCAGAGTTCTTGAATCCGCCTCGGGGTTCGCTTGCTCTGAGGGTAGGACCAAGCCAGGGTAGGCGGTTCTGAGCGACTGCAGAGAGAGCTGGTGGCACGGAATTCTGCTTCTGGCCGCTGAAGTGGCCAGTGGAGGCCCGCGTCCTGCCTCAGTGTCCCCTTCCGTGAATCGGGCGGGTGGAGTTAGGCGCAGGTGCGAAGGCGACCCTCGAGCCCACGGGACCGAAGCACCATCTGGTGGCCCTCAATCCTCCCCTAGGCGGACGCGGCTCTCCCAACGCGCGGGGGCGCCGGGCCCCGCCTGCGCCCAGCCCGCGACTGCCCCGGGGCCCCGCGCGGCCAGCCCCGCCCGCCGGGCGCGTGGAACCCCGCCCTCCCCCCCTCCCTGAGTCCCCGCGCCCCGCGCGCGGAGGGCGGGGAGGGGCGGGGCGCGCGGGAGGCGGAGCCGAGCCGGGGAATCCTGCTCCGCGCGAGCGCCGGGCCGCTAGAGCAGCGCGGCCGTCCGAGGGCCCCAGCGGAGGGGCCGGCGGGGAAGCCCCGACGCGGCCGAGTCCGGAGGGATCCCCGCGCCCGGCACGCCGCCTTCCCCGCCTCCGCGCGGGCTGGCAGGTGCCCGGCGCGCCCGCGCTCCACCCGGCCGCCGGCGCCCGCGGCCCCCGCCGTCCGCTCGCCATGCAGCCGCCGCCGGTCCCGCGCGCGTAGGCGCCAGCCGCAGGCCATGCTGCCCCTGCTCGCCGCGCTCCTGGCCGCCGCCTGCCCGCTGCCGCCCGCCCGCGGCGGCGCCACGGACGCGCCGGGCCTCCTCGGGGCGCCCGCCAACGCCTCGACCAACGCGTCGTCCGCCGGGGAGCCCGCCGCCCCGCGCCTTCTTGCCTCGGCGGCCCCCGGGCACCCGGAGCGCGCGGGTCCGGAGGAGGCGCCGGCGGCCGCGCCGTGCAACATCAGCGTACAGCGGCAGATGCTGAGCTCGCTGCTCGTGCGCTGGGGCCGCCCGCGGGGCCTCCAGTGCGACCTGCTGCTCTTCTCCACCAACGCGCACGGCCGCGCCTTCTTCGCCGCCGCCTTCCACCGCGTCGGGCCGCCGCTGCTCATCGAGCACCTGGGGCTGGCAGCCGGCGGCGCGCAGCAGGACCTGCGCCTCTGCGTGGGCTGCGGCTGGGTGCGCGGCCGCCGGCCGGGCCGCCTCCGGCCCGCCGCGCCCGGTCCCGGCCCCACCGCCGGGACGCCCTCCGCGCTGCCCGCCTACCCCGCGGCCGAGCCGCCGCCGGGGCCGCTGTGGCTGCAGGGCGAGCCGCTGCATTTCTGCTGCCTGGACTTCAGCCTGGAGGAGCTGCAGGGCGAGTCGGGCTGGCGGCTGAACCGCAAGCCCATCGAGTCCACGCTGGTGGCCTGCTTCATGACCCTGGTCATCGTCGTGTGGAGCGTGGCCGCCCTCATCTGGCCGGTGCCCATCATCGCCGGCTTCCTGCCCAACGGCATGGAGCAGCGCCGGACGGCCGCCAGCGCGCCCGCCGCCGCCCCCGCCGCCGTGCCCGCGGGCACCACCGCCGCGGCCGCCGCCGCTGCTGCCGCCGCCGCCGCCGCGGCCGTCACCTCGGGGGCGGCGACCAAGTGACCGCCGCGGCCGCGCGCCGGCCGGGGACTCCGTGCCGTAGTTGTCCTTCGTTCTTCTTCCCGGGAGGGGGCCGCCGGGGAGGCCCCCGCGCGGTGGGAAAGCGCGGATTGTGTGGGGCTGCTCGCTCCTACCGAAAAGCAGGTGCGAGCCGCGGGGCGTGAGGGCGGGATCCGCGACTGCCGGGGCTGAGCGCCGAGAAGCGGGGCCCTCCCCCCTCCCAGTGTCGCACCCCCTGCCCGCCTCCACGCGCGCCCTGATTCCTGGCAGAAAATGACCAAATCCTGTGTATTTGTTTTATATATTTAATAACTGTTTTAAATGAAAGTTTTAGTAAAAAAAAATCACAAAACAAAAAGATTATATCACTATTGCTGTAGTACAGGAGCTCTTTGTATCCGGACGCAGTTGTATTTGAGATTTGTTGTTTTCTAATTTATTTTAAGGGGAGGGGGCGGGGCGTGGGAAGGATTTCTCGCCGCTGCAAACGGACTCCAGAAACCTTCCAAGCCGCTCTCCAGTGACGTGGCCTGCTGGGCGTTTCTTGTACTTCTGTGGATTTTTTGGCTTTTAATACAGACGTTTTCCTCCAGAGATGCGTATCTAGCTGCTGCTTTATTTCATGTAGGAAAAGGAATCCTGCGGGGAGGGGGCCTGGCCGGGGGAGATGGGCTGACTGCGTGTCCCTTATCCTGGAAACCCTGCCCCTCGCCCTACCAGCCCTGGTCTTGTGTCCCACCACCCTGGAGCCCGCCTGTCACAGGGTCCAGCAGGGCTCTGTGGGACTGCGCTTTCCACTCGCTGCCCGGAGCTCTGCCCCACATCCAGTCAAAGTGGTAAAATCAAGAGCCCCTGTGACCGAGGTGTCTTCACCGAGATGACTCATTGCCCAAGGCGTGTGCATTTCATTTTCGGCCTGTAAACTTTGCCAGCTGAGCTCCTGTCAAAGGCTGGTTCAGAAACCTGGGGACACACGTGGGCATTAGTGAGGTTTCCCGGAGAGGCAGACCCGTGGAGGGGGAACGGTTAACAACCTGCAGGCTGTCTCTCCTCCGGTGTCCCCCGCGCAGTGTGTGCCTCACAGCGGGTTGGGACCCGCCAGGGTTTATCAGAAGAGTAAAGTCCTTCATATAAAAACAATTTTAAAGGACTTTGCAGCGACTGGAAAGGCTGCTGCTCTGTCTTGCTCTGCCCCTCCCTGCATTTGAGAAATGCAGATGGCTCTGGAGCTGCTGATCTCAGAGTGTGGGCCGGTCCAGCCTGGGAACTTGTTAGCAATGCACATTCCCAGGCCCGCCCCAGTCCTGCTCCGTCCTGGAGGAGGAGGAGGGCCCAGGGATCTGTGCATCCACAAACCCTCCTCGGGGCCACTGGTGTGAGAACCACCGTGTGAGATGTTACGGTAGCCTGTGAGAGGAGAGGCTGCGGCAGCGCCTGCAGCTTCTGCTGTCCCTCTGGCTCGAGGCAGGCCAGAGGTGGCCTCCCTCTTTCTCGGTGGAGACGCCGACGGAGTTCATCGTGATGCAAGTCTGGGGCCTGGCCAGTCTCTGCAGATCGCGGCATACATCACAGCAGGGGAGGCAGACACCTTGGCTGGTTTCCAAGCCTCGATCAGTCTTAATGTCATCTCAGCCCCCGTCCTCTCGGAAGGCACGCTAGATGCTCGCAGTGCAACTCGCACAGCCACCTGCCTTGGTGTTGTTTTTGTTTCTGTTTTCTAAGATGGACACTAAGGCTGAGAATGGCTCAGTCTCTCGCCCACAATCACACAGCAGCGCGAGGCAGAGCTGATGCTAACCCCAGGGCCTCTGCCTCGCTGGATGGCATTTCCATCCCTAGGAACTTCCTTCCCAAGGAGAATTAGGAGCCAGCCGCTCAAGGCCTGCTTACTGTCAGATTCCAAGTGCCTAAAAACCCAGAGGAGCTGGAGAGGGTTCATGTTAAAGGAGACACTCCAGTACTTAGCAGAACTTGAAATATCCATCTCTGTCCCTGTCACATGGAGCCTACCCAGGGCCTTTTTATGGTGGGTTTGGAGTATCAATGCCTAGTGCTGCTGCAGCTCACCTTCCTAAAGGGAGTGTCCAGAACTGCCAGGAGCCCGAGTGTGTGTGTGTGTGTGTGTGTGTGTGATGGATGGCCTGGGTGGCTCTAGGGAGCAAGGACAGGGTATGTAAATCCTTCCCGTCTCTAAGTTAGGATCAGCCACAGGTGAATCAAGTCGGGCCTGGCAAGCTGAGCTGGCGGGGATTGGAGGAGGTCCGTGCCCTCTTGCCAATTTGATTTGCATCATCTCAGTGGTGATGCATGGCCACGTGTGTGTTTGAGGATCAGTGAGCCATTTTTCTTGGCCAGGAAAGGACGTGTGCAGCTGTAGCCTGTGCATACAGCACCCCCAGATGCCAGCCCATTCATAAAGACTCCTGGGGTCAGGTTCAGCTGCAAATGATGTCGCTAACTCCCTGGGATCAGTCACCCTTTTCAGCTACTCTTCTCCTGGGAAGATGCGGGCCAGAGGTAATACTGCATAATATTGAAGTGTACCCCCCTCCAATACTCAGCCACTGCTGCAGGTGGCTCTACTACTGAGCCTTCTACAGGCATTGGGGCGGCCTCCCGGCCCTGACCTGAACACCCTGGTCTCCTCCGGAGCTTGTCTCAGCTACAAAGCCTCACCCCTGCCCGGGACTCATCACCTTGGGACCATCAGACCCCAGGCCTCTGGCCACAGTGCAGCACAGCTCTGCAGGGACTGAGCCCACGGGACAGACAGAGGCTTCCACGGAGGCAGCATCTTCCGTAGCTCCTCCCATTCCTTCATTTCCCCGGCCCAAATCCAGGGCTCTCCCTGAGCGGCCAGCGCGCTGATGGATGGCTGCCTCACAGCTGCGGGAACCACCCCCACAGGCAGGTCCCCTAAGGAGAGGCGAGACTTGCTCTAGCCATGCGGTCTCCAGGTGCTGAGCAGGAACACAGAGCGGAGACGCTCTGCATTTGCATTCCTTCTGCACAGCTCTCACATCTTCTGTTTTGTTTTTCTCTCCTCACTGCAGTCACTGTTGACACGGGAAAGGCTCCCTGGTGGCATTCTTTGTGGACTCATCACTCTCACAGGCATCCATACCAAAAGGAGGCGGCCTTGTTTCTCCCCCTGCCCCATCACCTGATCAGTCAGGATACGCTGGGGTACGCTGCAGAAAGAGGGAACCCCAACCCCTCAGTGGCTTAGCACAAGGAAGGATGGCTCCGTGCTCATGCCACCCACGCAAAGTTGGCAGGGGCTCTGCGCTTTGGAATCACTCGGGGACCCTGCTTCAGGGTGACTTCAACTTGACAATGTGGCCACTGCCATCCAGGAAGGAGGCAGGGAGCCCTGTAAGGGCTCACGTAAGTCAGTTTTTTTTTTTTTAATATTTTATTTATTTGAAAGACAGAGTTACAGAGAGGTAGAGCCAGAGAGAGAGAGAGAGAGAGAGACAGAGAGAGAGGTGTCTTCCATCTGCTGGTTCACTCCCCAATTGGCCGCAACAGCTGGCGCTGTGCCGATCAGAAGCCAGGAGCCAGGAGCTTCTTCCAGGCCTCCCACACGGATGCAGGGACCCAAGGACTTGGGCCATCTTCTACTGCTTTCCCAGGCCATAGCAGAGAGCTGAATTGGAAGTAGAGCAGCCAGGACTCAAACTGGCACCCATATGGGATGCTGGTG